CCCCGCCGGCAGCCCCTGGCCTCTCCCACGCTTTCTGTCTCCGTGGACGGCCGCACCTGCCCTGGCGTTTCTCATGGCAGGACACGTGGGGCATTGTTTCTAAGGTTGCTCACGCAGCGCCCTGTGGCCAAGTGATGCCCTTCAGTGGACGGGACATCCACCGTGGCTTGTCTGCTCCCAGGCCTGTGGTCGTTTCCACCTCGGGCCATTGAGGCGCCGGGGTCGTGCCCTGGGGCTGTCCTCAGAGGACCAGCCTGTGGCCATAGCCTCTCCATGCCCTCCTGTGTGCTCCTGGTGTCCCACGCCCTGTCCCTGTCCCACGCCCTGTCCCTGTCGCCTGGAAACTGGAGTCAGCCCTGCCTCCCAAGGGCAGATCGCAGGTTGGGAGGACGGCGGGGATGACTCACGGCCGAGACGCAAGTGCACCCCTACCGTCTCAAGGTTGGTCCTCAGTGATGAGACTGAGCTCATCCTGGGTCCTGCCCACGGAGCAGGCGAGAGTCCCCGGGGGCCGTGCTGAGGCCCTGCTCGGTGACATTTGTGATGCCGTGGGTTACAGCAGTCTGGGCAGTTACTGCGCAGGGCTGCTGCTCTAGGCCCCGTGTTCTGGCGGGGGCGGGACGGCAGGTGCTTCATAGCCTGCAGGGCTGCAGAGACTGGAGTGTTCCAGGACCCCCACCTGGCTCAGAAACCAGAACTGGGAGAAGGACCCCAGGCCAGCTGTGCCGAGGCAGATATGCATCACTGAGCTCGGCCCTGCTGTGCCATGTGGGCAGGGAGCCCAGGCAGGTCACACCCAGGGGCCCCGGGCCTGCCGAGCCTGCCGGAAGCAGCTGGGGGCACTTCAGCAGCCCGGCCTTGAAGGAAGAGCTGCAGAGGGCCCAGCTGCCAACAGGCCCAGGTCTCGGCCCTGGGTATCTGAGCCATGCGGCCCCAGGATGTCAGCCCGCCTCTCTGGGCCTCAGTTTCGTCATCTATGTCATGGGAACAGTGTCACCACCTTGTCAGCGTCCTTGGCTGCCATGGCAAAGGCCCACAGGCCAGGTGACATAAACACGGTGTATCCCTGTCCCGTTCCGGAGCCCCCACTGGAGGTGTCAGCGGGCGGCCTCCTCCGTCCTCTGGCCCCGCGGGTCCCGCTCTGTCTCCCCCGCCTCTGGGTGCCGTAGCGAGTTTGGCCGGCCTTTGACTCGACGACCTGCCATCCAGGCCTCTGCCTCCTTCTTCAGAGTGTGACTTCATCTTAGCTCGGTCACCCCCGTAAAGACCTTTTCTTCAAGGGAGGCCACGTGCACAGGTTCTGGGTGGACATGGTATGTGGGGTCACCGTCCAGCCCAGCACACACCTGTCGGGGTTCAGGATAGGATGCCTTGGGGACAGGTCATCGTGTGTAGCTGCCTACTCCCACGTCCTCACCGGGCTCGTCCTGCTGCCTAGTGTCCCTCACTCGTTATGATGAGGCTGTGACCCCCAGGGCGCCGTCAGGAAGGAGAACCAAGTGCGGGCAGTCCTGGGTTTGCAGCGGGCTCCTGGAAGCGGCAGGCGCGGCTCTGCGCGTGTCCAGGCCCCAGCTCTGCATGTCAGGGGCTCTGACCCTGAGCAGGACCTGCGCCTTGAGGAGGGTGGTGGGGATGAGGGACCTGCCATGCATGTACGTGATGACCGGGGAGGAGGGGCCACAGCACTGCTGGTCCCGCTGGCTCCAGAGGGCTCCGCCGAGCATGAAGAGAGAACACATAACCTGCAGTGACACTGCCAAGCACCCCGGGGTGCCGGAACTGCTGAGCCCCGGGAGTGTGAAGTCCCTTCGTCTCCCCAGCCTCAGGCAGGTGCCGTTGTAAGTTCCTTTTCTGTTGTTGAGGGACCCAAGGCCCAGAGGTTTGGTGAGCTGCCCGAGGTGGTGGAGGTAGGATTTGAACCTGGACATCCTGGTTGCGGAGGAGTGGACACGTTAGTCCGGGGCTGGCTAGTGAAGGAGGGAAGGGCGTCCCGCAGCAGAGCGGGCATGCGCAGGCCGGGTGCACAGCAGCGTGGTCAGGGAGGTGTGGAAACCTGGGCAGTGAGGCAGCGAGGGCCGGGTGGAGGGCCGCTGAGAGGCTTAGCCTTGCACCTGGGGGCTAGTCGAGCTGTTACTCTAAGAGCTTGGAGGACCCTCGGGGAGTGGCAGGGCCCACAGTGGCCTCAGAGTCTCAGGTTGGGAGATGGCATGTCCCTTCTCGTGTGGAGGCGGGGCGTGAGCCTGTGCAGGAAGCAGTCGTCCCAGGGAGCTGGCTGCCTGCCGTGGGCTCAGCGCCATGCTGGGAGGGTGGGGCCAGCCAGGGGCCAGGACAAGGACTCTGGTTCTCCTGGGAAAGTCAGCCTGGCCCATCTAGAGGCCCGACCTGGCTGTACCGGAAACCCAGCTCTGCTGGTGGCTTGTGGGGCCCAGGCCCTCTGGTCACACGGCTAGTGGTGGGGCGTGGGGAAGCCCTCGGTCACGTCATCCTGGACCAGGGATCGGCCCTGGCCTGGGAACAGTGCCGCCGGGAAGCCCTGTGCCCAGGTATGCCAGGCAGACCCAGAGGCCTCCCGGGGGCGACAGGCTGGCTGTGCCTGGCAGCTTCGCCCTGTG